GTATCACTGCCTATCGAAATTAGGATCAACTGATTGGGAAGTCACACCTCTGCCGTGCCATACACTGCAAACCAGATCAAAGATTCACAATAACACACTACAATCTCAGCAAGAAAATCTTTAGAATCCATTTGCATCCAGCTTCCATAATTAATAATACTAGACCCGCAAAATGTCCCCTAAACTTCAAAACCCTCAAAATGTAAACTTGACTCATCCACACGAACCACTGTGTGACATACCCGCAACACAAACTTGCAACTGCTGTCTCCTGGTAGTTGACTTCTCAACATGGAATCACGTAAAGTACACTGAAAATTCCTTAAAACTGGCAGCAAACTCAATGGCGTGTCGCATCTCTGCCACATTTCGCCTGTTGCACCGCCTTCCCACAACGTCCGTCCTGTCGCATCCGTCCGTCTCTGGGGGCCGCGGCCGTAGCTATCCTTCGCCTCGACGGAAGCGCCCGCGGCCAGCAGCGCCTCGACCACCTCCAGGTGGCCTTCCACAGCCGCAAAGTGCAGCGGCTCGTAACCTCGGTCCGGAGGGCGCCGCTGTAGATGGCGACGGGACGCGCCAAGTCACATGAGTTGCTTCGGAGGATTTCGGGTCTGAAAAACCGGGAGTTTGGTCATGTTTGGTCCACCATTTCTAAATGAGACATGTATCACTGCCCATCAAAATCAAGATCAAGTGATTGGGAAGTCACACCTCTGCAGTGCCACACACTGCAAACCAGATCAAAGATTCACAATAACACACTACAATCTAATCCTGAAACAATAACACACTGCAAACACCATCGAATTTCATCCCGAACCACTCCGAATAATATTGTCAAGTGTGACATACCCGCAACATCCCGCAACACAAACTTGCAACTGCTGTATACTGGTAGTTGACTTCTCAACATGGAATCGCGTAAAGTACACTGAAGATTCCTGGAACGAAGCTCCCAAAACTGGCAGCAAACTCATTGTCGTGTCGCATCTCTTCCACATTTCGCCTGTTGCACCGCCTTCCCACAACGTCCGTCCTGTCGCATCCGTCCCGTCTCTGGGGGCCGCAGCCATTGTCGTTCTTCGCCTCGACGGAGGCGCCCGCGGCCAGCAGCACCTGGACCACCTCCAGGTGGCCTTTCCAAGCCGCAATCGTCAGCGGCCCGTCGCCTCAGGCTCCGCTGATGATGGCGACACCACGCGCAAAGTTACAGGTCGGTCATGTTCCGACTGAAACCCGTATCAGCAACGGATTGGGAAGTCACAGCTGCGCAACTATAACAACCTCCTCAACCTTCAAGCCTACCCTTCTCAGGTTTCTGCGATATTGGTCAACTTGCTCCAGGGCGTGGGGGTCCACCTGCAGCAAGCGTCGGACAGCTCCGACGTTGCCCAGCCTGCAGGATGTCTCCGCCTCAAAGCCGAAACTCTGGATGTCTGGCAGTGTCTGGCGGTCCAAGGCGTATTCTTAATATATTATACCAGTGGATCGGTCATAATGTCTTAATATATGTAGATATTTTGCGGCTTTTGCGTTCCTGAACTTGGCTCATTCGACTACTAACAAATATATTACTGTAACAAATGATTGTCATGCCCTAGCAGCACCCAGAGTGCAAAAGCAAATTGAAACGCATTTGATAAACGCATCTTTCAAAGCCCAATGTCACATGTCATTGAGCATGGATCCTCAAGCCTGAACATGTGAGGAAACATCTCATGGAATCCTCAAGTCTGAGATCTCAGCAACTTTCGATTTCAGTTTCATCTGCCTGGAAAGCAAAGCACGACATTTTGGACAACCAAAAATTAAGCGAAAAGAGATCTTAGAGATTCAGCTCTAGTTTTTTCTGTTGCAGAAAAAGCGTGGAAAATATGATGCCTGCATAGGGTTGGTTTGAGATTGAAACCCGAAATCTGAGGAATGCTTGGAGGTCACCCAGTGAGGGACATTTGCCCCAACAGGACGAATTATGGAAATCATCGAGGTGGATACAATATCATTGCAAAAAATGTAGATCCCAACAAAGCAAGATAAAGCCAGTCAAATCGTGAATACTTCTCAACTCTGTGAAACTTTGTCCCCTGTGGATCCCAATGGAAACAACTTCCCCCAGATCGCCAGTCCTCCGCTTCCACCTTGGAACCTCAGGATTTGACGTGTTTTCGTGGTGAGTCCTCGTGAAAAGCCAAGTTGTTCATCTACCACCATTGGACTTGGAAGAACCTGCGACCCGTATCAACTGTGGACTGTCCACCGTCATCAACATCAACCTTACTCCAGATACTGACGCTCATGCCGTGTCAAAAGCCATCTTCGACACGACACCCCTGTCAGATATGGCGCGGTGCCCTGTCATTGGACGGACCCGGTGAGAAAGGCCAAATCAAGTTCCTTTTGGGTGAAGTTGGATGGAATAAGTCTGCCACCCTCCCGTCGGATGTTCTCATTGCTTTCTCTATCAAAGATATGAAAATTCCATCTGAGTCATCAACTTCACAGCAAGGTCTGACTGCTGACTTTCAAGGCATTGGAAGGGTCTAAGTCTAAGTCTAAAGATGTCTCAAGACCTCAACATCCTCAACGGAGCTGCGCCAAGAGACCAAGGTCATTGGGCTCTGAGATGTTGAGCTCTGTCTGAACATCTTGCCTGGCTGATCCACATGGATCAGGGCGATGAAAAACTCGGGAAGGAACGAAGACTTCACAGCGATCATCGAAATGCCCACAGAGTGGCTTGAAACCACCAAGCGTTATCAAATGGATCAGCATACATTGTCCTGTTTTATGTGTATAGTATACATGTGTTTACCATATTATGACAACCTTGGCAGTTCTGGCCGAAGGACGGTAATCATTCTGGCAAGATGCGATGAAACATCGGCTTGATGACCACTCTCAGAGTTGGATGCTGGTGCGAAAATCCACCGCAGGAAATGCGAGTAGGGAACTCGTTGGTCTTGAAACATCTCCTGAACACAGCCCACTGACCTTCAATTAGACTTCCTTGCCATCTTTCAATGTGTTCCGCAAAAACATCGGACAAGTCATGTCTGAGTGCGACAGAAAACCACCCCACAGCTGAAACTCAAAGTCGACAATGACGACCTGAAGCTGATCCAGCATGTATCAAACCAAGCATCTGTGGTTTGAAGCAAGGCTAACCTTGGCGAATGAAGCACCACATTGCAGCTGTGTCTTGGTGGTTTAGTGATCCCTGATCTTAGTAGGATGAATGGTAAAGAGGTAGTTCCATCTATATAATTGCAAAAAAGGCTGAAGTGTTCAAATGATACAAGTGTATGTCTACAATTCATCCAGGGACGGGGCGGTTCTCCATTTCTGACTTTTGGATACCTTTGGCAGTTCAGGTCCTGTCACTATGATCATCTGCGGACATGCCGACATGACAAGGTGAGCCAGGCAGCTCTTGATCAGAAACGCCAAGGCCAGAGAGGATGGACAGCAGCTCCTCCTTCCCGAGCGTTCCACTTCCTGAGTCCCGTTCCCCACCGAGTCCAACGACACAACGACACGAACCCAGGAGCAGATCGCATCAAAAACGCACAGCAGATCCCAAAACTGTTGCAGTCGAGAGTCCGGTGGGATCCAAGTGCTGGAAGATTGCTTCGACACCAGCATGGTCTGCCTGGTGTACACGAGCCAGAAGTTCGGTGTTCACCACAAGAATCCACCACCATTTCGTTGCCTTTGTTGGGAAACCCAACAGCTTGATTGGGGATTGGGATACCCCTCAGTTTCTTGGAACATCCCTAAGGCACATCAATAATTTACCACCCTAGAGGCACAGAATAATTTGCATCGATTCCCCACTGGACATGGCGTGGATGTCAACGATATGGAGTGTTAACTTGGAAACAAAAGTTAGACCAACCAACTAATAAAAACAAAGCCTGTGACAAGTTGAAACGGCGCAGCTGGACATCCGCAAACACATCCATGAAAGTGGAAATGAATCCTATAGAACAAGATATACCACTTGAAGTCGGGAGACAATCCTTATGTGACCACAACGTTTTAATGCAGTGTCAACTTGGAGAAGCCTGGGTCAATCGGTGAAAACCTGCAAGAAGTTGAAACAGATGCCCTGCACATGTTCCAAAAGAACGACAAAACTGACAGTGGAAATCTTTCAACACAAGTTGCAAGGAGACCGGTGAACAAAATCCTTGACGTGATCCCAAGTTTGTTGTTTTCATCACCATATCAGCTTCCAACGTCAGAACAGCGTAGATTGCGAAGTTGGAGGTCTCACATCTGGGACGCCCTGCCGAGGTATCTTGGCCATCCTTTGCCATGAAGGTGGAATTCCCTAGGGGAAAATCCGCAAGGATGGTGAAACTTTTTGTGAAAATGATGATGAAAACTTCAGGGCAACATCTGGTTCCAAGTGAATCACCTGTTGAAACTCTGGAGGTCTGGCAATCCATTGATTTCAAACCAGGACAGGCACTGGAACGGCATAAGAGCCATTTTTCGCCAAGGGTAAGCAACAAGCCGGGTCTGGATTGCACCAGATTCACTAAAGATTCATATGTGGTCTCTAGGTTAGTCACTATGTCATGGTGTGATGTCTCTGCGAAGGTCAATGAACTCTGGGTGAAAAAAGCCTAAGCTGAGCCAAGAACTACGGGAATTGGAACCTTTAGTATAATGTGCACATGAATCACTTTCAAATAACTGCATTTCTCGCCATGTCCATGTCGCAACCAATACCTACGGCCTGTCACTGCCTGAAGCAAACGTCCGGAGGTTTTGCGACTCGGGTTCCTCTACCTTGAGAGTAGCAGGGACTTTTAGGCCCATAGATGTTTTGAATGTCTCATTTCGGGTGAACTCTTCTGATCGTTAAGGATGATCGGCCTGTTACTTGACCTAATTTAATCCGGAATCACCAAGGATCGCACCATCGGAGGGTGGAATCCGGCAGCGGTACGCTTTGATTTCCGCCACATTCATCGATTTTTTTTTGACTTTGCCTAATTGGCAAAGATGCCACTGCTGGTAACAGAATCCGCAATCTGGTCGGCAGCGCCTTCGGCATTGTTCATCTGCCGATCATCTACAAACACAAGGCCATTCTTGAACACCAGGCGATTTTGAAAAGTGCCTCTTTCATTGTTTTGTGGCGCAGGTGGCCACTGCTCACACAGCCTAATGGGGAATATATACAAATTGTTGTCGTGTGCATATTCCAATTCATGGAAGGTTTCGTAGCCAGCACCAGTATAGGCGCCGTACTCCGAAGTGCAGAAGGCCACCATGCCTTTGGCACGGCCCAATCCTATCCGCGTCAGCTCGGCAAAACTTTGGCCGACCTGAGCTTGTACCATATATACAGGTATTCGTCTCTCTTCCAAGCGCCTCTTCACCGCTTTCATGTAGTCGATGACCCTCAGTGGCCGACAGTCCGCCGAGCATCCAGAATGAAACTTAAGAAAAGATTAAACACGGTTCACAGATGCAGGATCAAACTTCAACAACATGGTTCAACTATGTTCAAGTGACATTTTTTTCTTCCCCAACCTTCGACAAGAATCGTATCACTGTTGAAGCGGCCGCTCAGTAACAGGTGACCTCTCTCTGGCCGCACCTGTGCCTGAGCGGTCTGTCACAGGAGCTGGATCCAATCATGGATCTCGTCGGTTCCCGATTTCTGAAATTTATGAAGGACAAGCATTCTTGTTCCATGAAAATGTGTATGTTGCGATTCTGGATCTCATCCAAAATGCGCATAGAACATCATAAAACCATATAAAACCAATAATACGCAGTGCCGACCATCTGATTTACCCGGCAGAAGGCAAGGTCCCACTGTAAATTCATGTAAATTCCCATTCGGCTCTTCTGTTTCAATCTTCCACCTTTCTTAACTTATTGTTCGCACCCCATCAACTATTTTAACTTCTATCAATCTAACTCTAACTATAGATTCTGATGAATATTATAAAAAATCTATCAAATATTATCCGTTTGAAGAATTCGACAATTTCAACCCCAAAATCTCCAAGTCTTCGGCCGCCACAGTTGACGTTGCAGCCACCGTTGGATCACCGTTGGCGCCGAGTAGCCATCGACACGTCTGAGGTCATCGCAGCTGCGGGCATCGCCTGCGCAGGCCCCGTGGAGCCAATGGCAACTTTTGAATGGGGAAATTTGGGGAATGTTAGGAAACCCATGGAAGACCTTAGGCACTAGGGTTAAAATTTGGTGTTACCATCAAATTTTGGAGTTGTCCCATAATTATGTCAATTTTGAGTGGGGAACATGTTGGAAAAGGATGTTTTTGTCGACCATGACCGTGTTTCATTGGGAAGCTGATGTTTTAACTAATTATTACCCAAATGTTGGGGTTCTCCCGTGAATGTGCAAACATGTGCGGATGCACCTGCGGATGCACCTGGAAAAGGCAGTGAGATGACTTTGTGTGGGGGTTCGATGTTTGATGTTTACCACGCAACCCCACTCCACTGCGCCTGTGAGGTCGCTGGAGCTGACTGGAGATCCGATGCTGTTGGGTTTGAAGCTGTTGCATTCGTGGCTGCCTCTGACCGAAGTTCTTCGAACTGATGGTCATCCCCTTCAATTTCTACACTGAAGTGGCTTGCAGAGTGAGCCACAAGTGTCCGGGAAATCTGTGGCATTCGGTGGAACCTGACTCTCATGTTCATCGCTTCTTGCCCTTGACGCAGCTCCAGGTCTTCGTCGTGGCGATACGTTCCCAGCGGTACGCTGGGGCCGCATTTCTTGAAGGATCGCAACATGTCAGCATCGGAGCACAGCTGCTCCAAACTGTTCTGACATGACTCGCAGGCCACGTGTAACAACGCGACTTTGGCGTTTGCACCATGTGGATCGATGAATCCCACAGCTTTCAGGCCACATGGCCCTGTGACCACCAGATCACAAAAATGGCTCAGCGCCACAACCACTCGGCCATCGCTGAATTTCGCACCCAGTAGTGGCTCCCATCCTGCGGCCGGGAATCCGAACTGAGAAGCAACAATTGGGTGAGACCGAACGTGAAACTGAACCGTGCAAAACCGAGCCAGCATGAAAAATTAGAATCCGAAATGCGGCTCAGGGTCTCCTTACCAACTCACATTTTTGTCTGTGAAAGTCTTGTATCAGGCCAATCTGAAAACAACTGCTGGTAACGAGTTTCAACAACAATTGATTACATGGTCAAAAGGTATGGACTAAGGTATGGACTGCCATCCAAAGGTTGGACCCCTTTTCATAAGGCCGATCAGCCATGCTAAAAAAATACGCTGAATCAATAGGTACCCCATTCTTAGGAACCAGCGAAATCAGTTAACCAGCCCAGTTCAACCCGAACCGCAACTACAACCGGACCGACACTGGCTGAGGCTGGGTTCCGGTTAACCGACCGAACCGTGGCCACCCTGCCTGTGGCAGATGATCTCCAAACAGACTCCGCACCTACACACGTTGGCATCTCAACCTGACGGAGGCTTCGATAGTTTTACTTTGTCAAAGAACCCGAATCGTCATGGCATTTGCATCATGCTTCAAGGCTCGTATTTTGAGGTTGGCCCATTCATGGATCTTGCACATGTTTCACAAAACAAAATATTGGAAGTCGATTTGCCTATGTGCTGTGCATGACACCAAATCGGACAAGTTGTGCCTTCCTTTTCCTTTGCCTTTTGTATCTCTCCCAAGGATCTCCAAGAAGTGTGTTTGAAGTATTCAAGGCCATAGAAAAGGAGCCCCCTTCGAATTGTCTTTGCCCCCCTGCCTCCACTGGCTTTGGAAACGTGATATCTTCCGGACTGAGACGCACCAGTTGGCTCAGCGCCACGTGTCCGGGAGGGAGCACCTGAAGTTGCAAAAGCTACAAATCAAAACCGACGCGCCTACAAGCACAATCATAGTGACCATATTGAAGATAAGAGGGTGTAAAACGTGTAGTGTTTGTGCAACAAACAAACTGCAATGCAGATTCGGAGTCGTGGAGCAGTGGTATGATCCACGTCTCCTGCTGACATGAACCCTTAAGTCATTTCATGAAAATGTTTCAACCACACAAAAGGCGTTTTGCCTCGGAAACATGCTCAGGAGAGTACGGGTATCCGAGTACACAGCTGGGGCAAGGAATTTATGGGCGCAATCCGGAGCATCAACTATATTGATCTACATTGCATGTATCCACCCTATCAATGAGGAATCTTTTTTGGGAACTTCTGTCCAAGTTTCATTTTAGATCATTTTAGCATATTTTGGCACAAGAATTGCAGAAATTTCAACTTTATGCCGACGATGTCCAATTCTGCCGCAACGGAGTTGTCATTGGTCGACATTCTAATACCGAGAACACCAGGAACGGGAAGGTCATGTTTTCTGTCTTGGTCTTGGGAAGGGTATGTGTATGAGATAAAGTTTATCTACTGTAGTACATTAAATGTACATAAATGTACGTTGTACAATGGGATGTCATGCAATTCAATGCGCTGTATTTCCTGTCCTGTACTAAATATAGATCGGGCGTAGCAAAATCATGCAAAATCAATCTTATGATTCAGGTGTCCCAGCTTGGCAGACCCCCACAACGCAGAGACCCTCTGAACAAGAGTACATGCTTTCCGCCACAAAACAGCTGTTATGTTGGTGCTGTATATCATGGCTCGAAGTCAATGATACCAAAAATGATATGGAAGCTTCAGTATTAATACATATCAATACTAGGTTACTAGGGTATGTCCTTCACCGCCAAAGCATCGGCTGGCTGGTTTGCGGACGAGACACTTCCTCCAAGGAGGATGGATCCTTCAGATCCTTCCAGTCTGCAACCACGTCCATCCTGGGCCCGTACTCATCGAAAACGGATTGCGCCGTCTTCATCGAAATCCCATGGCCGAAGTCCTTCAGCACCACAGGGTCCTGGCGACAACGAAATCAACGGACTGCCTAGCCGCCTGGCATGAGAAATCCTGTCGTAAAAAGTCATTTCCTACACATGGTGCCGCACGATGCCGCATGTCTAAACGAATGTCTCTGCACACATATGCAATTTTCTGCCAAACACTTCAGTATCAAAACCAATGTTGCTCCAATAAACGATACAAACGCGCAAAACAGGACACATCTATAACAAAGCGATGATATGGTTTTCTGAGATTCTGTGTTGCTGATTGAGATTGAATGAGTATGTATGAATATGTGTGGCTTTCAAAATTGACATATAATATAAATGCGTACTTCGATTTGTCGGAAGTCTTGTGTCCAATGCTCTTTCTATCAGAGTCACTAGGACGGCCGTCAGGGTATTTCCAGGCAGAATGTTGGCTTCTTGCAGAGTCATCGCTCCATTCCTGGACCAAGCTCCGGCCCATTTGGGGAGACCACAGTGACTTGTCAAATCAAAGCTGATGCAGTTGATGCACTCCCTCCATGCGCTCCAAGAGAAATCAATTTGATCGATTTGTGATTGAGGTTCAAGGAGAAAACTTACGGTGTCTCCAGAAGGCTATAGAGGTGGCTACATTCTCAAGAGACTTCTAATAATTCGATATGTTGTTTATCATCTTTGTATTCGTGGCTGAGTCGGCTATTGGGTCAGTACTTACACTTCTTCAAGATGTTGGTGTGTCAGGGGGCCAGCAGGAACTCCTATCCCAGTTGCAGCATGCAGAGAGGACTTTGTCGTATAAAATCACGTCCACGAGGCACAGTTTCACCACAATGCCAAAGTCTAGATAGTCTATGTACCATGCCCTTTTTCCAGGCTGCATTCTGCAACACTAAAGGGAACCCCAAGAAATAATGAGTTCTAGCAGTGAACCAACTCATGAGCTCTAAATCAGTTGGAGAATACCCAGCAGCAGCGTCCATACCGCATCAACTGTGCCAAGCAGCAGCGGCTGCATGTCGGGGCCAATGAGATGCTCGATGGTCGTTCCCAACTTGCGCCTCGGATCCGCAATCAACAGATGTGGCACCTGCAGCACGGCTTCTGTTGAAAGCATCGCTAGGTGCAAAGGAATATTTTATATTGGAAAATTTATAAGATGTCATCAGGAATATGTAGCAGGGTAGCGAATCCATCTAACAGGGCAGTTAATGAAATGATTGAAACAAAAAGCGTCTTACATGAGTGGCTGGGGGATGCTCTGCCTCTCTTTGCCAGGGCCAACAAGTGTTGGTTGCATCCATTTTGAACATCCTTGCTACAACTCATGGTCGCAGAACTATTCTTGCATGGTGTTGCCGCGATGTCTTTCTTCACATTTCTTGCCAGAATTAGTTGGAGAATTCTCAGGCAACATTAATGAAGGAAGTCTTCAAGCAGCAAGCACAGTGCACAAAAGAGGTTGCTGTGATTGGCCTTCAAGTACTAATATCGATCAATCACTTCACTCAGAACCCACCATATTTCTCATGCAACTCGCTCAGCAGCCAGCCAAAATTATTTTGAGAGACAGGCATCTGCAGGCATGTCAGCTTCGGAAGAGTTGCATCGAAAAGGCAACCCAAAGAGCAAATCCAAATTGGATCAAAACAAGATGCCTTCTCCACCGTGAAAGCCCAGTGGTGGGCAACAATGGGTGGGAGGCTTGAGCGGAAACACGAGATGAACGGCTGTGTCCGCTTCAGCATGAAACCTGTTCAGAGAACTTCAATCATGCAACTCGCTCAGCAGCCAGCCAAAATTATTTTGAGAGACAGGCATCTGCAGGCATGTCAGCTTCGGAAGAGTTGCATCGAAAAGGCAACCCAAAGAGCAAATCCAAATTGGATCAAAACAAGATGCCTTCTCCACCAACTATTGCCATAAGGGAAAACTGGTAACACCGCAAAACAAAAGAAGACCCCAAAACAAAAAACAAAAAAACAGCTAATTACCAAAACGGCAACGAAAAACATAGTCTTCCCGGGCAACAGCCGATTCAATCATGGCTGATGCAGCTGCATGTGAAAAACGTGCAGGATAAGGCTGAGCTAAATGAGTCCACAGCTGTTTGGACACAGGATCAGAACCACTCAAAATGATATGATGTTTATGGGTCAAGGAACAAACACCGTTACGGCCACAACATTTGACTTCAAGTTGTGGTGATGGCTGTGAGTGCCAGCTGAGCACTTTGGTGCGTTTTCTCCACCTTGCTCCGTGCTGACAAAAGTCAGTGACAAAGCATCGACAAGAACGGAGCTTTGAAAGGCGATTGATTGGAGGGGAATTCCAAAGCATGGAGGAAACAGGATTTTCAAGAAACACAGGAACACCACAAGAAACAGCACAACGAATGATCCTAGCAGTAGCTTTCATGGTGAAAATCCCGAACTCGCACTTTCGCACGTTGAGGCTCGGGCAAATCAGGAAAACCATAGATATGCTCACTACTACGAAGGGGACCCCAACCAGAGTTTTTAGGGCCTCTACGCGCACGGCTCCAAGTGGCATATGGTGTTCCAAGCCAGATGCTACTAATGCACCCTCCGCGAATCCAGCCTTCAATTAATTTCAAAATGGAATTGTCAGTCAGGTCATATCTAGGGTCCGTGTCAGAATCAACAGCAACACAACCAAAACCATGGCTGAAGATACTCTTGGTGATACCCTGATGACCTGCAAACAAATTAAGGAAGACCTTGCGGCTGTGAGACTTTGAATTCTTAAGGGCTAGTCTAAAGTCCCTCATGAGAAGCTCTCTACCACTAAGGCTACTAATCCTACCATGCTTGCATTGCTTGATGAAATTTTCAAAAGACCTCTGCAAGCGACGCGTCACTTGAGAATTCCACTTGGTGGGGATTTGGCAAACTTCTCCATCATTAGCAAGCTTGGTAGATCTGTGAGCACTTCTTGGCCGTATTGAACCACGACGGGATTCACTTTGCTGAGTTCGTGTTGCAACCTGGCTTCCTTGACATACCTCTTCAGAGATGAATCTGTTGACCACCTCCCTCTCTTTTTGACCTCCAAGAGAGGTCGCCGTGATGCCAGAATGTCGTGGCTGGCTCCTCCGTGGCGCAGAGCATAGAGTGACAGGCCTAGCTCTTCCAAGCCCAACTCTTTGGTTATCTGGCTGAATTGTTGCACCAAAAGTTGATGAGGATCTGCCCAAAGTGGTTCGGCAGGATTTCTCCCCACTGTGATTTTGGCCAACAAAGGTCCCATCCACAGGTCTGAGTCCAAGAGGATGGATCCGTCGAACAAGGCTGTCTTCCCAGGAATTTTCAGCTCTTGCGGGTGAAGGAGAATGGCCCAAAACTGACATGCATTGGTCATTGAAGGTTGTGGTGGTATCAGCTGCCCAACCGTCAAATTGCTGATCTCGCCAGGGCGCATGTAAGTCACAAATTGAATGAACATACGCAGGGCTAGTTGAGGATAACCTTTGTAGAGTAGGCAACCCATCATCGCCCCCAGCACCTCGAGTAGCATAGGCAATCTCTGGCGCTGCGGCATAGCGAGGTTCCAGCCTTTCAAGGATCGGACAGCACGTGGAAGCCCCCTCTCCCCCAGTCGTGAAACCTCTGGAATGAAAAACTTGATGGCAGCTACTACTCTGATGCCCTCGTCTTGGCCCCTCCCAGCTTCGAACAGACTTTGAAGGTAAAGAGCTAACACTTGATCCAACTCTGATGCCGACTTCCAATCCTTCCGGTGCTGCTGACACCAAACTGAAAACCGGTCTATTCTGAGTTGATAGTCCTTCAAAGTTGGAGTCTTCACGCTCCTGGATTCGAGATATGTCATCCCTTCCGGAACCATCATGGACTTCTGAGTCCTCATCCTTCGATTGTGACGTTGGGGGCCTTTTGGATCTACTGACTTTCCCATTGTTGTCAAAAGGAAGGGAACCCAGAGTGCTATCCCACCAGCGCTGCAAGCCCTGCGCCTCCCACTGCTTCTGAGCTCGAGAGGGCCGATCGGCAATGTTCTGCTCGGATGGAATCCAACGCACATGCAAACGAGAACCGCTGGCGAGTAACAAACTGGTAATTTTTCTAAGAGGACCTTTCAAAAGTTGAGATTTGCCCCTACCTTTAGTGGCAGCAAGTGCAACAGGAAGGTTGTCAACCAAACAGACAAGGTGCTTGCCAATATTGCGGTTTGCTCTGAGAAGGTGCTCAACACTCCAGTTCAAAGCCCTAGCTTCGGTCTCAAGAATGTTAGCCTGAAATTTCCAAGGAGCAGACCAAACAACTGACCAGTCACTAGCATGAAGAATGTCAGGATTGACAGAATCAAATTGAATCGCATTGCCAACCTCGACAGGTATCTCATGACTCACAGCGGTCGCAAAGGAATTACCAGACACGCTATCAACCACACCAGCGTCATGTCCACGTTGAAGAGAAAAATTGAGAACATTACCACTGAGCTTGCTATCGGTATCATACGGCTCACCAGATTTTTCACTCGTGACATGATTGTCGCAGTTTGATTCATCATAGAGTCTGCCGCGAGCCCCCACTGAACCGAGAGCAAAACTACGTGCTTTGATGGCATCCTCAATGCGATATCTCCAGCGCTCTGAGCACTGACCAATGTGTCCAACTTTGTCAACATCCAACTGCCGTTTGCAAACACCAATTCCCCAAGGAGAAGAATCAGAAGCAGTAATTTCGCTAGACCATCCAATGTTGATTTGAACCCTGAACAGAGGAAGTAAATTAGAGATAATAATGAGCTCCTTCCGCACTGAGGGCCAAAGTCTATGGGGTCTATTACCAGCTGAATGAACAAAGGCATATGAAGCACTCAAAATGGCCAGCCCTTCGCGTCGGCACATAAGAGCCCAGGTGATGTGTCCAAGAATGTGCTGCATAGCTTTCCCATTGCAGACTTGCATGTCTAAAAGCTGATGAATAGCCGCGCGAAGCTTGAGGATCCTAGAAGGCTTGATACTAATGTGACCAGTCTGTCCATTGAAATGCAACCCAACAAAATCACATGTCTTGACGGCAGCCTCCTCTTCATAGACTGTCAGCCCCAATGATCTAAGCCTCTCAGAAATCAGGCTCAGCTTTCGATCGACCTCAACACGGTCGAGGCCAATGACTGCAAAGTTGTCAACATATCCAGCTGCAGCACAGCTGTGGGAAACATGACCATGAGGATGTCCATCTTTTGGTCCAGCTTTAAGATTGACCCCTGCACCCTTGTCTGAAACAATGAAGTGAGCACTGAAACCCGCATGCCTGATAGCCCGATCCAGAACTAATTGGCAGAGATGAAGTGCCCAACTCCAACCCATTGGCAAAACAGTGAGATACGGAATGACCTGAGAGCCGGGCTGGACAGGGAAACCATCAATGGATTCAACACCAATCGCAGAGGCCTGCACCGGAGGAAGTGTAAACATCCGACCCAGTGAATCAGGAACTGCTAGTGTGTAAAACGCATTGGCCAAATCCCCAGAAGCCACAAAAAACTCTGCCCCATCTGGAATACCAATTCGCCCAAAAGCATCAGCTGAAGGAAGATCGGTGTGAGGGGGTTCATGAAATTTTAGGTTCAATTTTCGGGTGTCAAAAATCAGTCTGAGCTGTCCGGATTTCTTCTTGACGAAAAAGATGCCCAACTGTGACCCATATGTATCCACTCGTTTGAATTTGACCATGTTCCGCATGCGAAGGTCACTAATGAAACCAGCATACTCCTTCTTGTTGTGCTTCAAAACAGGATCAACATAAGGGATGGGCTCCTCAACACTAGCCGCAACCTCCGACTGCTGTTTCAGCATATGCGTATGCCACGCCTGTAGCCATTCACTGTCGGCCCCAGGCAAACACGTAGCCAACTCCACCGGCTGTGAGTCAACCTGAGGCCAGGAGACACGCTCCCTGGCATAAGGCTCCACCACGCTTGCACTGTCACCGTACACATGCGAAGAACCGCAGAGTTCAGTGAGGGCATTTGTGGGATCGAAATCTACCTCACCCAAGACCAAGTCTCTATAAGATGAAGCAATATTTGAAAGGCACCGGCGTTGAGCACGTGTGCACTTACGTTTCTTTCCAAAATCTGAATTAGTGCACCCAGCAAGTTCATTGAGTGCCTTTATCCCCGAGTTAGCCATTTGGACCCACGCCTCATCAGCAGAGCCACCACAACCACCATGGGATAGATCCGGTAAGGGGAAGATGTTATGCTGATGACCGAAGTCTTCGGCTACTCCACCGACCAGAGAAGAAAAAATGCATAGGGTGAAAATCCACCAGCCGCCAATGCCAACGCCATGCCTGGTGATGAGCCAGAGCTGATCCGCCTGAATCCAGCATGGCTGACAGAACATGCTTCACAGTCCTGGGCCCGGCAATGGGCCAATCTTCGAAAGGAACTGGCTGTGAGATGGTTGCTGCCTCCCTGAACTCTTTGAATCGCATGCCCTCTACATCTCGCGAAATTGGTAACGTCCTTGCATCTGAACCACCGTTCTGACCCTGATTTGGACCCAAAGCTTGCACAAGCCCTGCCAACCCACCGGCGGCGGGAACACCACCCTGAGGTGCTGGGTTTCCAGCGACGTTTGGGACTGCGACTGCCGCCCCTGGCTGCGCCGCACCTGCTGGTTGGCCGCCCGCAAGTGGAGCAATCTGCCCTGCAGGGCCACCTCCGCCCCCTTGAACACCTCCAGCTAGGCCTCGCCGAACACGTTCCTGAGCGGCGTGGCGTTGACCTTCGGCTGTCAGCCGAGCCAAAGCAGCTGGATCTGGGAAAACTCGAAATCCATAAACTTGGGCACGATTGATGCCAACAGGGATAACATTGTTGGGATCCATGGGGCGCCATGCTAAAAAGTCTGGGTTTCCTGAACTGATTTGCTCTCCGTAGATGTCCCCATCCGGAGTCAAGATGATCCATTCGTCCCCAGTGATGCATGACAGAAGAAGTCTTGCATGCCATTGTTGCTCTGTGGGGTCGTCGTAAAAGACCAACACTTGATCACCCGGTGAGAGGCCTCCAGGAGGTTGCTGGCCCAAAGGAGGTCCGCCGGCCATCCACTGGGGATGATTTATCGACGGGCTTCACCGATCCAGACCCTTTCCAAAGGAGGGAACCACCAAGTATCACAGCAATGATCAATGAACCCAGACCAAGAATGATCAACAGCCCGCTGAAGTCAAAACTAGATGGACCACAGTGAACCGTGGGGCAAGTCAATGAGCCACAGATGGTTGAACAAGCAGGGCAAGGAGGATAACTCGAATCACCCGATGAAAGTAATGAACGAGTTGACCAACCAGCGATGAAAGATATGGCTGAAGCCCCCGCCAGAAGACTATTCATCCTTTTAGGCTTGAGCGGAAACACGAGATGAACGGCTGTGTCCGCTTCAGCATGAAACCTGTTCAGAGAACTTCGATGTTTCTACTTCATAGTTATAAATAGAAATGCAATGGCAAGGCTCTTACGGAAGGAAATTAGGAAAAGAAAACAAATCAACCACAAGGAACCCAGATCTTTCCACACATTTCACAAGTTTTCACACGTGTTGACTAAGGAAGGCTGTCAACAAGGAAAACCTGAGCACGCCAAAACTGGCCCAACGAAGCTTACACTGTAAGGATGCCAAGCCGCTCCGCTTCTTCCTTCAAGTCTTGTACAGTTTCATGCGCAGAGTTGCCTCGGTGTTTTCCACTGGTAGAGGTTTCCAAAACCAAGTTATAGACAGCATGGCTACATGATCTTTATCTTATACTGCGATAGGTTTGGGACGAAATTCTACCACATGGCTGCGGATCACAGTTTTTCTCGCCAGCTCAAAACAAACCCATCTCCTCGCAATCCATGTCAAGTATACGAAGTGTAGAGTCACTTGAATCAAATCTACTGGTATCATCTCACATCATGCATCATTGCATTTTTGTTTTACAATTATGGTAGTTACTGCTGTAGTATCTGCATCAAAGTTGTTTGTGTTTCGCAAGGCTTCCGCTGCTTTCGGAGCAGCCGAGGCACATCTGCAGCTCCGGCCACTGAGAAGGGCCACAAATACCTGATCAAAAGAATGGCAACTCATCGGAGTAGACTTGAGCGCATGATACCTTCACAACATCAGGATTGCAACGACCCAATAAGAAAAACCCTCATTTCTTCATAGGTTCCTATAGCCCACGTGTGCCGAAGCTTTGGTGCACCAAGGGATGTTCATCCCAGCGCCAAGGGACCGGGTCCAGCACACCCATCACCTTCCGGTGGCCCCTCATCTTGGCGATGTCGTACGGCGTCTCGCCTTGCTCTACGCAGATGGAAGTGCCAAGGCCCGGAGTAGACGGATGTGGGGCTGAGTGTGGTCCCAAAATCCAGATAGTATCATTTAGATTCATTTAGTGTCATTGCTTTTCAAGTTGTTTTACGGATGCTTTACGTTGATGTCTGGAAGACCTATACTAGCACATTTCCTACATATCACCCACTATATATAACCTTATTGTTGGTATCCTAATCGCTGTTTCCAAGATTCTTAATTAGTTCTTACTGTGCCAGTGGATGCCACTGTCTTCTGTGGTTTGTGTCGGTTTGTCACCCCATGTTGACACTTGCCAAACATCCCACCATGACAGCGCCAAAAAAAACAATTCCCACAGCCTGAAACAAACCCAGAATACGTTCATGTCTCTGGCTTCGCTGGTGCAGTGCATGTACTTTAGAAGATTCACAAAATCCTAATCCCACCTACAGCAAATACCACCTATCAGTTTTATCCTGCCACAGCTCTGTGCACATGATGCATTCAAAATCACCAAACAACTTGTCACCGAGTTGTTCTTTCACTCACTCTGCATCAGATCATCCCTCCACTCCACCCCCTGTGGTCCCCACCGGCCGTTTCCGGGGCCCCTGGCCTCCTTTGGCCACAGCATCCACGGCGGCGCCCGCGGCGAGGAGCTGCTCCACAGCGGCGGCTTGGCCGTAGAGAGCCGCCCAGTGCAGTGGTGTCGCACCTCAGGCGCCGAAGGGCTCGGAGACGTCAACGGCTGGCTCCACCCCGTGGCTCTCCACCGCCCACCCCCACTGCAGTGGAAGAAACTGCAATCTGTGGAGTGAAGTCCGTGAGTTTCATCTTTTTTTAAATTGTATAGCGAGCTGGTTCAATGGCAGCCTCTATCTTTGCTTTTGTTTGTGAAGATCGCCAAGACTACGAACTGATGGAACCGTCCACAACAAAAAATCCGAAAAAGGGAAAACCGTTTTCTTACGACTAACTTATCTCAACATATCTCAAGCATTTTCAAGCGCTCTTCACACCCATCAGTAGGCCCATACGAGTAGCAAATGTGCAAGAGTTCTTCTCTCTCAAGATGTTTTATGATGTCTTGTTGTGTTTCACATCGATGTCTTACCATCGTCATGCAGGGAATGTTTTGTCAAAGGTGGACATGGCGTGTGGACAATTCGTGTTATATTATGTTATCCCTGCAGTGATGGGGCACCCCAAAGATACCAGTGGATGCCACTGTGTTCTGTCGCTTTGTCACCTCATGTATTGTCACTTGCCAAAATACCTCACCATGGCGTATGAGAAGATTCAAAAAATCCTAATCCCACCTAATTGACACCAATCCTGTCACAGCTCTGTGTACATGGCGCATTCAAAATCACCAAACAACTTTCCACCGGGTTGTTCTTTCACTCACTCTGCATCAGATCATCCCTCCACTCCACCCCCTGTCGTCCCCACCGGCCGTTTCCGGGGACCCTGGCCGCTGCTGTCCACAGCATCCACGGCGGCGCCCGCGGCGAGGAGCTGCTCCACCATGGCGGTGTCGCCCTGCAGAGCCGCCAGGTGCAGCGGTGTCTGACCTCAGGCGCCGAAGGGCTCGGAGACGTCAACGGCTGGAGGGCTCCACCCCGTGGCTCTCCACCGCCCACCCCCACTGCAGTGGGAGAAACTGCAATCTGTGGAGTGAAGTCCGTGAGTTTCATCTTTTACAAAATTGTATAGCGAGCTGGCTCAATGGCAGCTACTAGGTTCAATGGCAGCCACTATCGTTGCTGGTGTTTATTAAGATCACCAAGACTACGAACTGATGGAACCTTTCACAACAGAAAGTCTCAAAAAGGGAAAACCGTTTTCTTACGCCTAACAAAACTTATCTCAACCTGCCTCAAGCATTCTCAAGCCCACTTTTACACCCATGCAGTAGGCCCATACCGGTAGCAAATGTGCAAGAGTTCTTCTCTCTCTCAAGATGTCTTCTGATGTCTTATGGTGTTTCACATCGATGTCTTACCATCGTCATGCAGAGAATGTGTTGTCAAAGGTGGACATGGCGCGTGGGCAATTCCTCTTATATCCTTGCAGTGATGGGGCGTCCCAAAGATGCCAGTGGATGCCACTGTGTTCTGTCGCTTTGTCACCTCATGTATTGTCACTTGCCAAATATCTCACCATGGCGTTTGAGAAGATTCCCAAAATCCCAATCCCACCTACAGCAAATACCACCTATTAGTTTTGTCCTGCCGCAGCTCTGTGCACATGGCGCATTCAAAACCATCAAGCAACTTGTCACCGAGTTGTTCTTTCACTCACTCTGCATCAGATCATCCCTGCACCCCAGCCCCTGTCGTCCCCACTGGCCGTTTCCGGGGCCCCTGGCCTTCATTGTCCACAGCATCCACAGCGGCGCCCGCGGCGAGGAGCCGCTCCACCACCGCGGTGTGGCCGTTGAAAGCCGCGTACCTCAGCGGTGTGTCGCCTCAGGCGCCGAAGGGCTCGGAGACGTCAACGGCTGGAGGGCTCCACCCCGTGGCTCTCCCGCCCACCCCCACACTTTACTGGGAGAGGCTGGAATCTATGGAGTGAAGTCCGTGAGTTTCATCTTCTTTTAAATTGTATAGCGAGCTGGTTCAATGGCAGCCACTAGGTTCAATGGCAGCCACTATCGCTGCTGGTGTTTATTAAGATCACCAAGACTACGAACTGATGGAACCTTCCACAACAGAAAATCCGAAAAAGGGAGAACCATGGAAAACTGCTTTCTTACGCCTAACAAAACTTATCTCAACATAACTCAAGTATTCTCAAGCCCTCTTTTGCATCTATCTGCCATAATTAATAATCCTAGACCCCCAAAATGTCCCCTAAACTTGACTCAATCACCGGAACCACTGTGCGACATACCCGCAACACACATTTGCAACTGCTGTCTACTGGTAGTTGACTTCTCAACATGGAGTTTCATCCTTTTCAAAATTGTGTGGCAAGCTGGCTCAATGGCAGCCACTATCGTTGCTGGTGTTTGTGAAGATCAACAGGACTACGACTACGACCTGATCATACCTTCCAAAGCTGAAACCCGGAAAAGCGAAACCGAACTGATTGTATGCCTCATAAAACATCATGAAACCTTGTGTATCAGGCTCTTTTACACCCACAAAGGGTTGATCAAGGTTGCACATGTGCAAGATCACCTCTCCGAAGCTGTGCATCCCAGCAGGGACAACTTCCTTCAAAGAATCCACCCTGTGGCTCTCACCTGCTGGAGGTTCATCTCCAGCTAAGGTGGCAAACACCATCGAATTTCATCCTGAAATCCATGGCACCGCCTTCCCACCACGTCCGTCCTGTCATCTCGGTCCCGTCTCTGAGGGCCACGACCGAAGTCGTTCTTCGCCTCGACGGAAGCGCCCGCAGCGAGCAGCGCCTGGACCACCTCCAGGTGGCCGCCCTCAGCCGCCCAGGCCAGCGGCCCGCTGCCTCGGTCCGGAGGGCGCCGCTGGAGATGGCGCCAAGTCACATGAGTTGCTTCGGAGGATTTCGGAGGATTTCGGGTCTGAAAAACTTGGGAGTTTGGTCATGTTTGGTCCACCATTTCTAAATGAGACATGTATCACTGCCCATCAAAATCAAGATCAAGTGATCGGGAAGTCACACCTCTGCAGTGCCACACACTGCAAACCAGATCAAAGATTCACAATAACACACTACAATCTAATCCTGAAACAATAACACACTGCAAACACCATCGAATTTCATCCCGAACCACTCCGAATAATATTGTCAAGTGTGACATACCCGCAACATCCCGCAACATGGTGTATACTGGTAGTTGACTTCTCAACATGGAATCGCGTAAAGTACGCTGAAGATTCCTGGCTCCCAAAACTGGCAGCAAACTCAATGGCGTGTCGCATCTCTTCCACACTTCGCCTGTCTCACAACATCCGTCCTCCTGTCGCATCCGTCCCGTCTCTGAGGGCCGCAGCCGTGTCTGTTCTTCGCCTCGACGGAGGCGCTGGCGGCGAGCAGCACCTGGACCACCTCCAGGTGGCCTTTCCGAGCCGCATTCGCCAGGGGCCCGTCGCCTCAGCCAAAGGGCTCCGCTGATGATGGCGACACCACGCGCAATTTCACAGGTCGATCATGTTCCGACTGAAACACATATCAGCAACATCTCTCAAAACCAAAAATCAGTCTCAACTGGATTGGGAAGTCAAAGCTGCGCACCTATAACAACCTCCTCAACCTTCAAGCCTATCCCTTCTCAGGTTTCCGCCTCCTCCGTCGACTTGCTCCAGGCTCTGGGGGTCCACCTGCAGCAAGCGTCGGACAGCTCCGACGTTGCCTTCTTTCGCAGCCTGCAGGATGTCTCCGCCTCAAAGCCGAAACTCTGGATGTCTGGCAGTCCAAGGTTTATTCTTAATTTATACCAGTGGATCAGCCATAATGTATCATAATGTCAGAATAGTATAGATTCTAGATATTCTAGATTCTGCGGCTTTTGCGTTCCTGAACTTGGTTCATTTGACTACTAACAAATATCAACAAATGATTGTCATGCACTGGCAGCACCCAAGAGTGCAAAAGCATATTTAACGCATTTGATACACGCATCTTTCAAAGCCCAATGTCACATGTCATTGAGCATGGATCCTCAAGCCTGAACATGTGAGGAAACATATCATGGAATCCTCAAGTCTGAGATCTTCACAATTTTCGATTTCAATTTCATCTGCCTGGAAAGCAAAGCACGACATCTTGGACAACACAAATTAAGCGACAAGAGATACCACAGATTCAACTCAAGTTGTTTCTGTTCCACAAAGGCGTGGAAAATACGTTCCCTGCATAGGGTTGTTTTGCAATCTGATATTGAAATCTGAGGGATGCTTGGAGGTCATCCAGTGAGAGGAAGGACATTTGCCGCAGCAGGACAAATTATGTAGGGAATTCTAAGAAAAATCATCAAGGTGGATACACTAACATCGAAAAAATGTAGATTTGAACTGTATTTCGCCGGGGAAAAAGTTTGCGCAGTGACAAGTTGTAAGGACCCAACATCTCATCACATAGCAAAGCACGATAAAGCAAGTCAATCCGACCTACTACCGCCCCAACGTCTCCTCATGAATACTTCTCAACTTTGTCAAACTTTGTCCCGAATGGATCCCAATGGAAACAACTTCCCCCAGATCGCCAGACCTCCGCTTCCGACTTGGAACCTCAGGATTTGACATGTCTGTGTGGTGAGTCTTCGTCAAAAGCCAAGTTGTTTATCTACCAGCATTGGACTTGGAAGAACCTGCAACTTGCATCAACCGTCGACCATCAAGAATCATCATCCATCATCAACAGCAACCATCTGTCCTTAATCCAAGTGCTGACACTCATCACGTGCAAAGGCCGTGTTCAGACTTGAAATCTCTTCCAAAGTTGTCAAATATGATAAACCCAGTGAATGAACCCAGCCAAGCTCCTTAGGACGTACCTTTGTCACAGTCCCTGCCACTGCTTTCGTTTTCATGTCAAAATATGTCAAAAAAAGATCTGATTCGTCAACTTTCAGGGCAGATCTGATTCGTCAACTTTCAGGGCAGGGTCTGACTTTTCCGACTTTTCAGGGCAGGGTATGGACCGGTTGTAACGTCTCGTCCCATCTCGTCCCAGAACTCCACCAAGTGACCAAGGCCGGGCACTGAGGTTTTGAGTTCCGTCTGAACATCTTGCCTGGTCCAAACGGATCACGGTGCTATGAATCGAACGTTGTCCGAAAAACCCAATGAATTGCAATGAGTTGCGATCATCACAATCACGACATGAAGATAAAAAGCCCAAAGGCTTGATATTTCAAGAAGTGTCCACCAGCCAAAATCTTGCTTCATGCTTTCCAAATGTTGGTTCTACTTTGGCCATTGTGGCAGAAAATTGGCATCAATTCTGACAAGATGCGATGAGACATTGGCTTGATGATCACTCTCAGAGCTCGATGCCGGTGCAAAAATCCACCGGAGGAACTTCCCGTAATGAACGCTTTCATGTCCAGACATGTCCTCAATCAAACATGACATCCCAGCAGTGTTCTCCAAGGATGACCAGTCAGCAAAAAAGAGGCAGTGGTCCCAATGGAGATCAATGGAGCTTGGAATTCAGAACCAGTGAGGACATGAATCTTGGCAACTGGCGGCTTCCATGAGCCATCACTTTTTTTCAAGCCAAGCATCTGCTGCTTCGAGCATCAATGAAAGCCTTGAGAAGCAAAATGCCAAAGAGTTGTTCACAACATCGCAACTCGACAGGTTTAAGCAACTTGGCGTTTTGACAGAATTTGACAGAGAGGCAGTGTTCCATCAGAACAAGACAAATAGAATGGGGTGCTGTCCAAAAATAGGTTGGATACCCCAACTTATTGCTTTGTTGTCAGGTTCAAACGAGATAATCAATCGTTCTAATCCCCTGAAATTGCGGGAATCCAAATGTGCTTCAGGCAACTCTCGCTCACCCATGTGCAGGCCAAGGCCAGAGAAGGTCGACAGCAGCTCGTCCTTCCGGATCATTCCCCGTCCTCAGAACGACTCCCGGCAGTTGAACAGCAGGAGCCGCCCACGGCTACAGAAAAGACCTGCCATGCTGTGGTGACTGGGAACCAGTGCAGTTGAGAATCCGGTGGGATCCCATTGGCGGAAGATTGCTCTGACATCTGCGTGGTCTGCCTGGCATTGGCTGTGTGTAAAAGATAAGTTCAAGAGATTCCTCTACTTCAAACAACACGTCCGGAAGTTGCACAAGCAGAGCATATCGTATGTGTCACTTCTAGATTTGAGATGCTCTAAAACATGTGTTTACTTCTTCTCCAACTTTGCGCGTAGAAAATATGTGTTCTTATGTTTTCTTTTAGAGTTGATCTTCAACACACTCCTACTTGACATCATCTGTCCAGTTTACTTTAAGTTGTTTGAACTACGTGGGAAATGGTTCAATGTGGAACGTTTGCTGTCAAACACCGTGACAGCTTCATTCTGGAGAGTTTGGGTTTCAATTCAAATATGTTCAAATCAGCGGATATCCTACGGGAAGCTTCAAGAACAGCGCGCATCACAATCCTCCCTGCAGGCTTGCGCCAAAGAACACAGCAGACATGTCAATCAAACTCCCTGTGCTATCCAATGTCACACATGCACACAGAAAAAAATGTGCGGCACAACGGATTGCAACAAACATCCAAAGTAGGTGAATTCTCTTGGAGCTCAAACTTTGACCCAACAAAGAAATCCATCATCTTCAAGATCTCTGAGACTTCTGCACAGGTCTCCCCACCTCTTTTCTGACGGGAGGATCGTGTTGGCCCTCAGGATCCTGCGGCTGAGAGGCATTACGGACACATGGCCGGACGCCATGGTCGTCACTTGGTCACTGCTGCAACCGTTTTCGTCGCTTCAACTTGGCAACAAATTTACCAAGTGATCTTTGGGAAACCCCCAAACAAAAAAAATACGTCGTGAGTCATGGCTGTCATGGTCTTTGTTCGGTTGGGAAATCTCCCATCCCTGCGGGGTGCAGCCGCATCGCCTCGGGTGAGGTCGATCTTCGAGCCAGTTCCTGGTGCAGTTTGTGATCGAGAAAAAAATCAACTCAAAACAACTGCTCCGAATGCTCAAGACTCCATTGTCTCAAATCCACCACAAAGGTCCAAAAAGTCTGAAGAACATGTACGGAAAGATGAAAGCTCGTACTGTGGCGGGTGTGTGACGTTTCAGGACATGCGTGCGAACTGTCCTGATTTGCTACAGTAGGTTTGCTATGATTTGCATGGAGTTGCCCCTTGTCATTTGCCCGTTGTCATATGCCTCTGATTAGCAAACATGTGAGCTATACCCAGTGTCAACTTGAATGATAAGAAACAGTTGGATCACCCAGTGAAAAGTGGAAACCATGGTTACTGTATTCGCTAAAGACATCTGAAAAAGTTGAAACCCTTGGAGATGATATGCCAAGAAACTCTGTGAAACACTCCAAGAGTCCAACATCTTTGTTGCTTTCCACCATATCAACTTCCAACCGCTTTGGTGGAGTCAATTCCACGTCTCAGATCTGGGACGCCCTGCTGAGGTATCGTGACCATCGCTGTTTTCGGCCATGTCGCTGATCGGAATACCCCAATTTCCGGAAGCGTGGTGAAACTCTCTGAAATTGCGGCCAAAACTTGAGGGAACGATCTGGTTTCACCTTTTCAAACTCTGGAGGTCTGGCAATCCGTGAATTTCCAAGCTAAGCACTCCTGCAGGCAACAAGGTTGGTTGGCAAACCAGGTGTGGGATGATGCTGATATTTTGCCAGCATTGATTCATGTTGAAATGGTCAGAGCTGCGTTCTGGTGTGTGTCTCTTCAACCCTCAACATCAACGAACTGCTGGTGATGACGTGCTAGCTGAGGCGAGAACTTCAGGAAATCCAACCTTTGCTACAATGTGCAACAGAATTACCGCAAAATATGTGCGGTGTGTTTCCAGTATCATTCAATTTGCATGTCAGGAGCATCTACTGTCACACAATGCCTGAACCAAACATCCGAAAGAGTAACACTATGCAACAATCTGGGAACGCTTCCAAATCAGAGGTTATAGTTCCATCCAGATTTTAAGCCCTGTGTGCATGCTAGGTTTTAGGGTTTACCATGTTAGGTTCAACCGACCTTTCATGCCTAACATGGTGCCGTTGCCTTTTTTGGGGCGAATTGGGATGACTCGCTTCACGAATACATTCTTGTGATCTTTTTGGGTCGGAGAACTACTTGTTACTTGTTGCTTCCTCAAATTCATCCAGATTTAATCAAGCGGGAGCAGAGCGCACCATGGGAAGCCGTAATGCGGCAGTTGCCAGTTTTCATTTCCGCCACATCTTCGCAATCTGTTGGCCTTCGCCTAATTTGAAAAGATGCCGCCAGGGCTAGTCACAGAATCCGCAATCTGATCAGCAGCGCCTTCGGCATTGTTCATCTGCCGATCATCTACATACACTAGGCCGTTCTTGAACACGAATTCATTTTGAAAAGTGCCTCTTGGATTGTCTTGCGGCGCTGGTGGCCACTCTTCGCAGAGCCTAATGGGAAAGATTTGCAACTTGTTGTCGTGTGCATATTCCAATTCATGGAAGGTTTCGTAACCAGCACCTGTATAGGCGCCGTAGTCCGACGTGCAGAAGGCCACCATGCCTTTGGCATGGGCCAATCCTATCCGCGTCAGCTCAGCAAAACTTTGGCCAACCTGAGCTTGCACCATATATACAGGTATTCGTCTCTCTTCCAGTCGCCTTTTCACCGTTCTCATGTAGTTCATCGTCCTCGGTGGCCAGAAAAGTCCAGATGGCAGGGAGGATGCAACCAATTGTCACTTGAAAAAGTAAGGATCGAAATTCAACAACAATATTTGGACCTAACTCCAAAAATGCCGCCAATCAGTCTATGCCAATCTCAGACAAGAAACCTTTCACTGTTGAACCGGCCACTCAGCAGCAAATGGCATCGCTCTGGACGTGGCACCTCAGACAGCTTGATCCACAGATCTCCACAGGAGATCCACGTTGGATCCAACCCTTGGATCCCATCTTATCACCATATCACGAGCTCCGCTATCGATATTCGATTCGAAAGTATGCATGATTGATCATTGTACATTGATGTACATTGTACATGTTCAAAAATCCGGTGTCAACATGTGTCAACCCATCTGATTTGCATGATCCAAGCAATGGCACGTGTCAAAAAACCAGGTGGGCTCTGCTGTTTTCACACCTTCCAATTCTACTCCCATCCACTACTTTGACATGTCGTGCTTTCTTGTAATTTCACACCGTCTGCGTCTTGGATCGTCTTAGTCTTAGTGCTTTTCTGAACCGTGCACAAATGGGGTGTGCTTGAAGGTGGTGTGCCAAGAACCATGAAAAGGGCTCTCAGCCATTGATTCTAGTGCCTTTCTCAGCCTTGTAATTTTGTGTGCTCCTAGTCTTGAAATCACCACAGATGAGATCCGCATCTTAAAGCATGCTGGATCTGCCGACACTTCTGAGGCCACAACTGCAGAAGCCATCGCCTGCCAGAGCCATTTTAGTTCGCGACTTACGGCCGTTGGCCCTACCCTGCTGTTCGAAGGATTATGGAAAGGCAAAACCCGGCAAAAAGAGAATCAGTCTACGCAAAGGTGAAATAAAAACAGGCAGTCTGTGCAAGACTCTATTAAACAGGAGTTTATGTGCACGTATCATTTTACAAAGGAGTATGGGCAAATAGTTATTTGATTCCGTGCATGACGCATCACGCACAGACCATGATTGTTGAGGAAAATCCGCCCACACCGCTTTGGCGGTGAAGGCGTGCTTATTGGGGGGCAACAGCAACACTAAATGCTCAATGACATTTGTTAATATAGCAGTCGCTATATCAGCTTTAGCTGGGGGGGGCCCAAAAACGGTTTCGCACCGAGACCAGAATCTGGTGGTGTTTTCGACATTTTTCGAGGATTTTTGGGTGTCTGAGCGCAAGAGGGTATTGAAATGGAATTTTGGGTCATTTTGGTAGCTTTCCGGCAATGGAAAAACGGCCAAAAATGAAAAAAACATTGTACATAGCAAGATTTTGCAGGGGTTTTGGATGCCAGAGCATTGAAAACACTGCAAAAACAAGTGTTTTGGACTGACGTTATAGCAAAAAACGTGTAAATTACCGTATGCTTGACTGGAAACATTACAAAACACTGTCAAAAGCAATGTTTTGGAAGGATTTACTGCCTTTATGGCAAAAAACGTGTAAATTACCGTCTGTTTGACTGGAAACATTGGAAAAACACTGTCAAAAACAAT